CAGTCCCAGGGTCTCCAGCCTCAGTGTCTCCAGCACGAGCACCTCCAGTAGACAAAGGACCAGCACCACTCCTAGCTCCAGCGCGACGGAGGACAGACAGACTCAGACTCAGCAACAAGACAAGCAGCGTAGTCTAGACGACAGGCAGCAACAAAGTCAACAAGCTCAGCGACCAAGGCAGACGCAGCAGTAGACTCAAACGACGGGTCAGTGACAACAGTGGCTAGGAGACGCGTGACAGTAGGGTGCTCAGTACGAAACCGGTCAGACTCAGGGTCCGGAACGGCAGGCAGAGAGGACGCAGGGGGAGACGGCAGAGGAACAGGCTGCGGAGCAGAGGAAGGACGACGGACTACGAGGTGTGCGCCGGGGACAGCCGGCTGGCGCGAACGAGGAACACGACGACCGGTACGACCAGGACGAACAGGCGAAACAGGACGCGACGCAGGCTCACGACGCTCAGCTGGACTACCGGTCAGCTCAGTGTAAGGAGAAGGAGCAGGCAGCGGTGAGCCAGACTGTAACGGAAGACCAGTAGACGACGGAAGAGTAAGAACCTGACGAAGAACAGAGGCAGACGGCGGCAGAGACGACGGAGACGGCGGAGCGAAGAACAGTCGTGACGGCGCAGCTGCACCAGAACCAGCAGCTCCAGCAGCTCCAGTGCCTCCAGCAGCTCCAGTACCTCCAGCAGCTCCAGTACCTCCAGCAGCTCCAGAAGCTCCAGGCCCAGAGCCGACACCTCGAGTCCCAGGGTCTCCAACCTCTGTGTCTCCAGCAGCAGCACCCCCAGAACCAGCACCTCCAGTCCCAGGGTCTCCAGCCTCAGTGTCTCCAGCAGCAGCACCCCCAGAACCAGCACCTCCAGTCCCAGGGTCTCCAGCCTCAGTGTCTCCAGCAGCAGCACCCCCAGAACCAGCACCTCCAGTCCCAGGGTCTCCAGCCTCAGTGTCTCCAGCAGCAGCACCCCCAGAACCAGCACCTCCAGTCCCAGGGTCTCCAACCTCAGGGTCTCCAGCAGTAGCACCCCCAGAACCAGCACCTCCAGCCCCAGGGTCTCCAACCTCAGTGTCTCCAGCAGCAGCACCCCCAGAACCAGCAACTCCAGCACCTCCAGTAGACAAAGGACCAGCACGACTCCTAGCTCCAGTAGCGCGACGCTGACGGTGACCGTACCAGTCCTGCAGCTGCTGTGGGGTGAGAGGCACACGTGGACGAAGGCGGCCACTCCAAGGAGACCGCGCAACAGCAGACTCAGAACCCTCAGCGCCCGCACCCCCAACGGCTCCAGAACCTCCGGTGTCAGTACCCTCAGCACCAGTACCTCCAGCGGCTCCAGAACCTCCAGCGCTAGCACCCTCAGCAGCTCCAGAACCTCCAGCTCCAGCGCCACCAGTACTAGGCCCTCCAGCAGCTCCCGAACCTCCAGCGGCAGTACCGCCAAGCTCAGCACCCCCAGACCCCTCACACTCAGGCTCAGCACCACCAGGCTCCACACCCTCAAGCTCCGCACCCTCAGGCTCAGTACCCCCAGGCGCAGCACCCCCAGGCTCCGCACCCCAAGGCTCAGCACCCCCAGAAGGAGCACCCCGAGCAGGACCACTCTCAGTAGGACCTGAGTCACCAGTGACCTCAACCGGCGCAGTCAAGGGAGGAGGGTCTACCTGAGAAACACCTGAAGGAGCAGGACCGGGAGCGGGGAGGGGGTCTACCTGGGGAGCACCTGGAGCGAGGAAGAGCGGCGGAGGGGGGAGCGGGGCAGTGCGGTAGGGGAAGAGACGGTAAAAGGGAACCGACTCGTCGAACGTGACGTCCTGAGACGCAAGGACACGGGGCGAGGCGGGGTGGTAAAACTGCCAACCAGGCGCGTCAGGGACAAAGCCAAGGAAGACACAGGGAACAGCGCGGGCGGAGAGCTTGTCCGCGGTGGTATCGCGGACAAAGGCACGAGCACCCCAGACCCGGAAACGCGACGCATCGCCAACCTTCCCCGTCCACAGCAGTGTGGGCGAGGTCTCCGGCAAGGAGACACGGGGCCAGAGGTTGAGCTGATGCGCGGCATACCGGACCGCAAACGGCCACAGAAAATGAGGGGCAGCCGCATGGATCATGGAGGTACGAGCGACCTCCATGACTAAGCCAATGCGGCGCTCAGCAACCCCATTCTGCTGCGGAGAGGCCGGAAGCGTGAACGATTGGGTGATGCCGTGCTCCGCACAGTAGGCTGCCAAGAGGTCGGAGGAGAACTCACCACCTCTGTCAGAGTGCAGACGCAGGACATGAAAGTCCGACCGGAACCGCTCGCGGAGCTGGAGACGAACAGCGCGGATCCAGGGGATCAAAACAGTAGGGACATCCGCCTTGCTCCGCAAGGGGAAGACCGTGGTGTAACGCGTGTAGTCGTCGACGACCAGCAGGAAGTACCGCTCGCGGCCCTGTCCCTGGACGCGGGCTGGGCCCCACACGTCCAGGTGGAGCGTCTGCAGTGGAGCCTCTGTGGGAGGAAACGAGGAGGAGTGAGGAGCAGCGCGTTGCCGCCCCTCGACGCAAGGAATGCAGGGCGGCGCAGGCGAGGGAGGGAGGGCAGGCAGAGACCTGGGGAGACCAGAGACCAGGGAGCGAGAGTGCATGCTACGCAGGCGAGGCAAGGAGGGGTGACCAAGGCGGTGGTGCCACAGGAGAGTGTCGTGCGACAAAGCGCGACACTCGCAGGGGGCCGCCAGCTGACCAGACGCAGACGCAGACGCAGACGCAGCTACCTGAGGGGACTCAGTGGTCAGTGTGTACAGACTCGAGCCAGGTGCACGGGTGAACGTGGCCAAGTGCCGGCCCGTCCTAGCACACGTACAGTGAGTCACTCGCTGACTCGCAGGAGTGAACTGGTGAACCCCCCCATCCTGGAGGTCAGCTCCACTCACCAAGTTCGTAGAGAACGAGGGGAGGTAAAGACCTGACAGCGAGCCGGACGGGACGGCCGGACACGGCAGAACCGTGGAATAGTGGGCAAGGACTGGACCCCCAGAGGGGTCCGCCAGGGAGACCGGGACTGGCCGACGGAGCGGCGTGAGTGCGGTGCAGTCGCGAAAGAAGGAGCGGGAAGCTCCTGAGTCAAGGGTGAAGGTGTGTGAGACCGCAGTGGGCGCAGTACCAGAGAGAGCAGACACGGCAGCACCTGAAGCCACGGCCTCACCCGTACCTAGAGCAGTAGACGTACTAGCACCGAGAGCAGCAGCCTCACCAGCACCTAGAGTAGGAGACGCACTAGCACCTAGAGCAGCAGCCTCACCAGGGTCAGGCGGTACGCACAGGCAACAGGCACGGTCAGCACTAGTAGACAATGCATACATGGCAGTGAGAATAGCATCATAGTCAGGCGCAAAGATATCTACCCTCTGTCCATGCAGCTCCAGCCAGGTGGGGAGCTCAGCCTCGTCGCCAAACTGTGCGCCAGTCGTCACTCAGACGGGCGAAGCAGCGGGACTGTGTGTGACCAAGCGTCCCACAAGGCTGACCAGTCCTAGCACCTGTGCGAATGACGTACGGGCAGCGAACTGTACGTGTAGACCTGCTACACTGAGCGTACCACTCATGGAGCTGCCGAGGCGTAAGTGTCTCGCGTGGACGCCCCTGCAGCTGCAGCTGGCCACTGCTAGACGCTCCCAACTGACCAGCCCCAGGGCGACAGCTACTACGGCTACCGCGACAACCCCAGCTAGTATACCACTCACTAAGCTGCTGGGGCGTGAGAGGCTCGCGTGAACGTCGCTGGAGCTGCATCTGACCAGGCGTGGCAGGCAGGCAGGCAAGCAGGCAGGCAGGCAGGCAGGCAGGCAGGCAGGCAGGCAAGCAGACAGGCAGGCAGACAGACTGGCAGGCCGGCAGGCAGGCAGGCAGGCCGGCAGGCAGGCAGGCAGGCAGGCAGGCAGGCAAGCAGACAGGCAGGCAGACAGACAGGCAGGCCGGCAGGCAGGCAGGCAGGCCGGCAGGCAGGCAGGCAGGCGCGCAGGCAGGCAGGCAGGCCGGCAGGCAGGCAGGCAGCCAGGCAGCCAGGCAGGCAGGCAGGCAGGCAGGCAGGCAGGCAGGCAGGCAGGCCGTCAGGCAGGCAGGCAGTCGCTCACCAAAGGCTGGGAGAGCAGGCGCTCACCGGGCGAGCAGGGCCGGCGCTCGATAGCGGCGACGTCGGGGCCGCAACACCGGCTGCAGAGCAGGGCCGAAGCAGCTGCAGGGCGGGGCCGCTTCAGCGGCAGTAGCAGGTCGGGGCCGTGGCAGCTGCAGGGCAGGGCCGCATCAGCGGCAGGTCGGGGCCGTGGCAGCTGCAGGGCGGGGCCGCATCAGCGGCAGGTCGGGGCCGCGGCAGCTGCAGGGCGGGGCCGCATCAGCGGCAGGTCGAGGCCGAGGCAGAGGGCCGCGCGCGGCTCGGCGCGGGCTGCGCGGACAGCGCCCGGAGCTGCTGCAGGCCGCGCGCGGCCGCGCTAGGTAGTAGCGGGCCGCGCGCGGCTCGGCGCGGGCTGTTGCGGGCCGCGCGCGGGCCGTGCGAGGCAGTAGCAGGCCGCGCGCGGCTCGGCGCGGGCTGCTGCGGGCCGCGCGCGGGCCTCGCGAGGCCGTAGCAGGCCGCGCGCGGCTCGACGCGGGCTGCGTGGGCTCGGCGCGGGCTGCGCGCGGCAGCTGCGAGCTGCGCGCGGCTCGGTGCGGGCTGCGCGCGGCTGCAGCGGGCTGTGCGCGGCTCGGTGCAGGCTGCGCGCGGCTGCAGCGGGCTGCGCGCGGCTCGGTGCGGGCTGCGCGTGGCTGCAGCGGGCTGCGCGCGACTCGGGGCGGGCTGCGCGATCTCGGTGCGGGCAGCGCGCGGGCCTTACGGGCCTCTAGGGGCAGCGCACCGGCCTAGGGCAGCACGTCTCAAGGCAAGGCAAGGCTGGCAGGCACGTGGGGTAGCGCGGTAACCGCAGCGGTAGGTGGGCCCGAAAAAAAAACGGTCCTACGGACCTTAGTGCTCTGAAACCATGTTAGAATCTAGCAGCAGGAATGATGTGAACTAACAGGATGCAGGAGTACAAGTAGTAAACCCTAATTGGGTTGTACCCCATATGGGCTACCCCACTACAGCCTAGACAATATGCAGCACATATAGTTTGACACAGCTTAGCGTCGATTAACGTCTTGAGGGTGCCGACAGGCTCATACGCAGTTGTGAGTGTGGCATTTTCTGCAAAGTTGACGTAGTAATTGCCGCTTGTTGCGTCAAGCTGGAATGTGCAGGGGAACTCGGCCACGAGGGCGCCAGAGGTGGAGTTATAGTAGCCGGGAGTGGTGAATGTGGGGGTCGACCCCGCGGGTACCCCAATAAGCGTGATGGTGAAGGAGGTAGACTGGACAGTGGCCATGCTGCAAGGGGGAACCAGTAGGGGAGGCGATAGAGACTTGGAAACGACAGTGAGGATGAGAGCATGACAGAGAATGCAGTGCATGCATGCTAGCATCTGTTCGGATGATCTAGGCTGCTGCTACCAGTGAGGAGCTTCTTTCTGCGGGTTTAGTGTGAAAGAGTGAATGAGTAGTAGAAGGATAGTGGAATGTTCACATAGTCAACGTGAAAGGAGATAACCAGCGTTCGGGGTTTTACGCAAAACAACGGGAGAGAATTCAACATGATGTAAGAGGCTTACACGTTAGCACTCAGCGTGGCCTTGCCCCCCAGAACAAAATTAGTAGTGTACAGCTTAGAAAACGCATTATCTGCGCATCGCGGAAAAGGGAGAGCAACAAGGAAGGGGAATTAGGCAGATAGAAGGGTCAGAGGAACACGCGCAAAGAGAGGAGCAACGGAGTTATGGCAGGATAAGCGGAGGAGCATGAACTTGCCCCTAGTGTATCGAGCGTTATTATAGCAGTGCGTACGGAAGAAGAACATGTGTAGAAAAGGAGAATGCGTCAAGGAGAAGAGAGTGCATGCAGTAACAGCATGTTAGTTTATAACACCTCGCTACCCACTGGGTCAAAACGAGGGTGTTATTTGGCGCAGCGGAATGCCCATTAACACTCAAGCCCACAGGCGTTACACTCGTCCCCCCCTGGTGTCAACGTGCTTCTCGCCACAGACGGAAAATGTGGGGTCAGCCAGGATTTGAACCCTAGGCTCTGATTCCAGTATAACACCTCGCTACCCACTGGGTCAAAACGAGGGTGTTATTTGGCGCAGCGGAATGCCCATTAACACTCAGCCCACAGGCGTTACATAATTCGCCCGACGAGAGAGAGTCGTACAGCGAGTGCCGGTAATCTGGAGCAGATGGCGGCCGCCGATGGCGCTGCAGGCGAGAGAGAGCAGCACTGCATGCACGGGACGAACGACGAGCACGACACGAGGAAATTAGGGTTGGCACTTTACACTCGGGCTGTACTAGCCCCTCGGGATGAGAGCCTCCAGGTCTGATCCTGAATGTTTTCATTAAGTTTTTTTTTGCAAAATCAGACCAGGTAGAAAAACGCAGCGCGATCAGATCCTACTCACTGGCCAAGACGAACGCGGGTCGCAGCGGTGACATGTTCGCCATGGCTGGTTGGGAAGCTATTGCTGGAACTTGCGGATAGCGCCGCGATTTAGGGCCACAAGGTCTGAATGGAGGCTCGAACGGGCTGGAAATATTAGGTGCGCCGACGGAAAAGACGCTTTATGGACAGTCGAGCTGCCTACGCGATATAGAAGGAAGCCGCACGTGCAGAGGACAGTGGAGGGCTGCTATGTGGTTGCGACGCGCAGCTGTGCGGCATGACATGCGCCGCCGCTTGACAGGGAGCGCCATGCGCGGATCGTCGTGTCAGATGCCATCGACACTCGCGGGATGTGGTCGCGGTGTCACGGTCAGACTCTAAGGGTGCCTTGGCCTCAGAACTGGTTCTTTTTCTGTGACGAAACATTTGGCGTGTTGAATAGGCAAAATCGCTACGCTTCTCCCTATTTCGCCTCAACTGATGCCCCAGCCAGAACAAATCCGCGTCTCGCCGCGCGTCTCGCCGCATGTGACTCAGGCAGGCCAAACTGCGGTTTCAGGAAGTTCGAGAGGTCACCTGGTGAAGCCCGGAATCTCCTGCCAGCGCGACTCACGCAGGAAGTGCCTATGTTACAAGCTAATCTGTCGCTGTACATCATTGAACCGTTATGAACAAGTATTGAACGTTCTGAAACTTCCGAAATCGTACTGGAAAGATTCACGCACAAGTGCGGGACCCCAAAAATCACCCAACCCCCCAAAACTCCTACATGTTCGATATAGCAAGTTCCGCAGCACCAGCCACATGTCCTGAACCGTAAGTAACTTATTTATAGGAAAGTTCAAGGGAATTCACACGATGGGGCTACTGCAGGATGGGTTATTTAAAGCATACCCTGTAAGGCACTATATTTCCACAACACTGCACCATTCACGTTCGCACTAGAGCTATTGTAAAAGGGGTAGCGCTGAGACTTAACAAATATTTGCTACTGCAATGCATTCATTGTGAAAGAGAGAAATCCAATTTACGAAATAGATCAATGAGAACAGATCAAATTATCTGTCTACAGGCTCTATCTAATGAGTTGATGAATTAGTTTTTTTTCCTACTGAGAAAGGCAAGGCAAGGCTGCAAACATGAGAACTTTCAGAAGCACAGGCCCTGAACATAAGAAGAATTCCTGCTCATGATATTATGAATAAGAAAATAGTCTTAGTAACAGCAATGCAAACGTCAGTCCACCACACAATAACTGCCCACTGGAAATCCTTGTAAAAGACGTGCCATTCAGTAGCTTGTCGCAGTTCCTGAGACGGTCCCATTTATGTTCGTGACGCCGCTAACTTGAACCGAAACACGCAAGGGCGAGGGACTCTTGAGGAGCCCAGCGTCGATCAGCGCCTTCAAGGTGCCGACTGGCTTGTACGCGTAAGTGAGAGACACCTTTTCTACAACATTGCAGGTATAAATGCTGGTTCTCGAATCCGCCGTGTATGTGCAGCTGAACTGGGCCACTGTGGCCCCGGTGCCGTAGCTGTAGATTTTCGGATTGGTGATTGTTGTGGCTGACGAGACGGGTGCGTTTGAAATGCGGATAGTGAAGTTGGTAACTTGGTCTGTGGATGTGCTGCATGGGGAGACAGGGGGAGGGGAGAGGGTGGGAGAGGGGAGGAGAAGGGCGTTGAGACAGGGAGGATGAGAAGGACGACAAAGAAGGCAGTTCTGCAGGTTTATTCATGCTACACTCGGAATGAGTCAGGTGTGTTCATGCTGCTATTAGTGGGGACCTCTCAATGCACGTTCAGCGTGATAAAGGTGAACATAGTCAGACCAGATCGGAAGCATATGTTGTCAAGTGAATATTCAGCGCGATGTGACGCTTACACGTTAGCATCCAGCGTGAGCGAGGCAGTCATTTTTCCCGTAGAGCACATGCTAGACGTCGCGTGGTCTGCGCGCCAGGGACGGGAGACGGGGAGAGAAACAAGTGGAGTCAAGACGGAATCACGGCAGGAAGGGGAGTCCTTCGAACGTATATCGAACGTGATGATGATGCAGACAAGTTAGAGAGTGCTTCAACAAAAAGAGTGGTAGCAGCAAGATTAGTCCGCCGTACAGAAAGTGTTGCCGGCGGTTTGAAGCAGGTGGCGGCCGGCGACGGCGCTGCAGGTGAGAGAGAGCAGCACTGCACAGGGGTACGTGCACGAAGAAGATTAGGTTGTTTATAGAAAAGTAAGGCCCGACGAACCTCTGAAAAATTGCACTACAGCTAACTGTTTCTGATTTCTCTGTTTGAGGAAAACACGCAGATTTTGCCGACTCGGCAACAGATTTGGTCGGAAGCAACAGGGATTGACTGCCAAAATTCGGTTAGGAAAAATCCGTCTCAGCCCTCAGGCTGACAGCCAGAGCTCCGAGCATCATTCGAGAAAAAGAACCAGCAGGGTCTGCGTGTTTAAAACTCACCAGCGAGGACGAGCGCGGGTGGCAGCGACATCTTGGCCATGGCGGCTTTAGGAGGTGGTACTAGTAGCCTAAAATAAACGTGATCCTTGCGAGGATGGCGGCTCGATCTCCTATAAAATGAGAGTGCTTTTTTAGGAAAAGCCAAGGTGATTTTATAGCTAGAAGCGCTGCTTGCTCGAGAAACGGGAGCGCCAGCAAACTCGCGAGCCGCTACGTGCGATGGCGGTCCAGGTGGCTTTACCGTAAAGTTCTGCTTCCTGCGAGCTGGAAGTTGGCGGTCACTGGGATGAGTAGGCGTGCTGAATAGGCAAACGTGCTGCCTTACCGGGGCAGTCGTCTTCAATTTTCTCCTGAGTTCTTCTGACCCTTGAAATCCCATTTCGCGCCATGTGACCATGGTCTCCACCGACAGCATTCAGGTTTTTCGGGTGGTACAGTTCGGTGAAGCCAGATTTGGCTCCGCAATTCATGCCGCCAAGAAGGGCTGCTTAGCCAACCCGGAAACTCGCAAAACCTCGCCGAACCGTTCTAGAAATTATTAGGAATGTTCTGAATCGTTCCCGATCGTATGTTAAAACATCTGTGACGAGGAGCATCTGGTCCTGGGGCTTGTCAAAACTGGCCCGCGACGTTCGTTTCAGGCGCCGCGAGTCACGCAAAACCACATGAGATTACCTGCAAGGGAAAACAGTGTTCTCGACACTTCCATTACCAGAAAAAAATTAAGCATAAAAAGTAACAAAAAAGGTAACATTATAGTAAAGCATCTCTTCGTAGGAATTATCATGGTTGGAAACAATACCGGCATCGAGATGTATGTAATAATAACCTAATTGTTACGAATAGTGATATTTGATACTACTGTGCACTCCTCACCGCAGCAAAGAGAAGCACGCAGTAACGAGAATGAACGCGAAGCGTCAGACGGTTGGAATTGACTCGAAGCGTCGGACAGTTGGGACGCATCTGGACCGTCGGAAGCAGACGGCATCGGGCAGCTGCAGGCAGGATGGTTTTGGCGGGAACAGTTACGAAACTGTACGCGCCGCACGGTTGGGAGTGAATTTGAATAAGGGAATGTACCCCTTAGAGTACATGGCTAGATAGGTCGCTTCGTATTCCCTTGTACTCTTATTTATATCATTTTGTTTGCATGTTTTTATCATCTCAAGCATTTACATTCACTCTGCTATTGAGGTCAAGGGCCCACCAACTATTTCACTGCGTGCGAACCTTCCTGGGTAGATCCCGGGCTACGATCAATCTCTGATCGCAGCATGGTATGAGAGCGGCTCAGGAATCCTTCGCACTGCCACTCCCGAAAATTGCGACATTCGGAAAGTGGCGTCCGGCACACGCTCACGAGTGAAGATGGCCGGAGGATCTGGTGGTCAGACTAATCTGACGGCTGAAGCGCAACCCAATCCGGCTGCGACAAGCGAGAACACGACGACAATCAACTCCGAAGTTCTCGCACAACTTCTTCAGCGACTCACCGGTTTGGAGCAAGGGCTCCAAACATTGCGGAATGGCGATGCGGGAACATCCTCGCAACCATCTCAACCGGCCCCAACTGGCCAGAATGTCACCCCGCAAACTTTCTCCCTCGACACCAATGGCTCAACCCCCAAGACTCCCCGTCCCAGTGAAGAGGCAATTCTCTCCGCTCAATCAAGGTTTCTCAGCATATCAAAAATAAAGACAAGTACCTGTTTTGACGGCAGAGACTTTTACACCTGGAGCTTCGAGCTAGAGCTCTTGCTTCAGAACGCCCAGATCTTTCACTATTTCGACGGGAGCTACGCGGAGCCTGCTGAGGACACCGACGACGCCAAGGCGCGGTATTACAACGAGTCGCTGATGGCGTACGGGGTGCTCCTGCGGAATATGTCGGCGGCGGAGCAGCTCAACATTCGTTCATACAAAACCACAGCTGCTCCAGCCCTTAACGCCTGGCGGCACCTGACAGGGGTCTACTAGCCCAAGAACTCTGTCTCTTCGAGCCGACTACTCCAGGAACTCCTGGAAACCAAGATGACCGCAGGGGAGAAGGTCAACAACTACCTTAATCGCTGTCGGAGCCTTCGCGATCAAATCGTGAAGTTGGGAAGCACGATTTCAGAAGAAATCTTCGTCAACATCGTGCTTCAAGGGCTCGGCCCAGAATGGCGGCCCTGCAAGGCGCTTCTCCGACAGCAGGGGGTCATCTCGGAGGCCGCCCTTTGCGCCGCCCTTCTCGTCGAACAGAGGGATATGGATCAGCAGCGACCAGCGCCGCGACGAGAACGCGAACGGCTCGCCTTCTACGCCGACAACACTGAAGAGCGAAAGCCACGGCGCCTCTACTGCAAAATCTGCAGAAACTTCGGGCATCTGGCGGATCGATGCAAGAACCGATCTCGCCCTCGCCAGACCAATCCGAGCACTTGGTCCGGCCGTCAAGACGCACGAGGCGACGTGCGTCCAGCCCAGGGGTATCAGCCCCCTCCCGCGCGCAACCTGAACCCAGCGGTTCAGCATCAGCAGCAGCAGCCGTCATCGACTGCCCCAGTTCGCAATGTCATGAGCAACATGGCCATGACTGTCAAAATAGTATGTAGTGTTAGGAGCCATAGCTAGGAGAGTCCTAGCTAGGCAAGAGACAGTTTAGGCAAAAGAAGAGGGTTTTCACTAGCAGCAATGAGGATACATATAGCAAACCCTAGATGGGTTGTACTCGCTACAGAGCACCCCACTACAGGCTAGAGAATAACATTCTGACACACCCCCATAGCCAAAGTGGGGTGTAATCAGCAGAGCAAACAAAGCAGTACAAGCTCAGGGTGGATCACAATGTCACCACACATTCTGAGCACAAGTTCAAGAAGCAATAGTTTAAAGTTCACAATTATGAGCAAAGCTAGTGGTAGTCACAACGGGCAAGTGAGGAGGAGGAAAGAGACTATGAGAGGAGAGGAGGTAGTGGGCGGCAGCTGAAGCTGCTGGCACACGGCGCAACTGGAGCAACTGGCACACGGGCAACTGGAGCAACTGGCACACTGGCAACTGGAGCAACTGGCACACGGGCTACTGGAGTAACTGGCTCCGCGGCTAAAAGTAGCGGCAGACGAGCAACGGACTCACGGGCGACTGGAGCAACGGGCTCACGGGCGACTGGCGCAACGGGCTCACGGGCGACTGGCGCAACGGTCTCACGGGCGACTGGAGCTGCTGGCTTGACGGCGGCCACCCCCTTCAACCTCCCCAAACTATCCCACTCCCCCTAACACACACCCGCTGCTACACCGCTAGCTCCACTCCCCTTTCACCCCCCCCTTAGTACCACTCCGTCGGCTCCAACAGGTCCACCCCCCTCAGCGGCAGCTGCAGCACAGGGAGACGGAGGAGGAGGAGGAGCAGGGAACGGCACTCAGAAGCTGCACCCCCATACCCCCCACCCCCAAACCCTAATCCAGGAGAACGGGCAGAAGGAGGGGTGGGGCGCCTTCAGAAGCACGGGGGACAGCGGGGAGGACAGGGGCAGCGAAGAACGGGCCGCCCACGGGCCTGGCACAGCCTCCCGAACCGCGCGCAGGCGGTCCGAGCCGCGCGCGGGCCTGGCGCAGCCCGTACGGGCCGCGCGCGGGCCTGGCGCAGCCCGTACGGGCCGCGCGCGGGCCTGGCGCAGCCCGTACGGGCCGCGCGCAGGCCTGGCGCAGCCCGTACGGGCCGCGCGCCGGCTGTACGGGCCGCGCGCAGGCCACGACGGGCGACGGGGGGCGACGCGCGGGTCCCCGTCGCCCGTCGCAGCGCCTCCCGGGGGCGACGCGCCGAGTGACGGGGCAGAAACCCGCCGCGCGCCTCGGGGCACACGGCGGGCAGAGAACCGCCGCACGCCTCGGGGCGCACGGCGGGCAGAAAACCGCCGCGCGCCTCGGGGCGCACGGCGGGCTGAAAACCCTAATTTCGACGCCGCGCACCACGGGGCGCGCGGCGGACAGGGAGTAGCAGTAGCAGCGGAAGCAGTGAAGTGGGCCCACAGGCCAGGAACGTTAAGCTCTGATACCATGTCAAAATAGTATGTAGTGTTAGGAGCCATAGCTAGGAGAGTCCTAGCTAGGCAAGAGACAGTTTAGGCAAAAGAAGAGGGTTTTCACTAGCAGCAATGAGGATACATATAGCAAACCCTAGATGGGTTGTACTCGCTACAGAGCACCCCACTACAGGCTAGAGAATAACATTCTGACAATGACAGGCGAGTCGCGTCGTCATCGCGTTCGCTCACCGTCACCTGAGCCGGCACCGCACCCGATTGGCGCGTTCACCAACAACAACCCGTTTAGCCCGCGCCACGATTTCACCGACGACGACGACCAAGACTGGAATCTTCCAGTTCCGCTGCTTGAAAGTCCCCCGCACGTACCTGATATGCGGGTGGCGCCACTTGACTGGCTCTCGCGCGAACAGTTTTTGAAGTTCGACACTCCGCACATCGTCACGCCGCGACTGGCGCTGCTCGCACGTGACGACAACAAGCACTACAACACCTGGTACCTGGACAGCTGCTGCGGCCAGCACATGGTGGGCTCCGAGCGTTACATATCCAACGCCGTCCCCACCCCTGCCGTCACCTACGTCACCGTGGCGAACAACACACGCCTGCGCGCAAGCGCGCAAGGCATCGTCGTGCTCAAAGCATGCGGGAGCCGCACGCACATCACGCTTAACGATGTGCTGATCGTCCAGAACCTGCGCTTCAACCTCCTGTCCGCCGCACAGCTCATGGACTGCGGCGTCGACCTCAGCACGGACCGCGCGACGCGAGATATCCTGCTGCACTATGAGGCGCGCAACTTCCCCCGCAGGCAGATCGGACGAGCACACTCCGAAAATGGGGTGTACGTCCTGGATTTCGACATCCCCGACTGCAGCGGCGATTCGCACGAGCTGATTGACCTCGTGCCACTGCGCTTCGAGCACATCCACCGCAGGGATTGGAAGCACCCTGACGGCAGGCCGTGGGTGCCGCATCATCCCCACCCACGCGAAACG